TGGGAGATCAGAAGCCCACAACCGCCAGGCCATTGGCCGAAGACTAGACAGTTTGCGCATAAGTGGCAGATCAGCAGTGTGAGAAAACTGCACTTAGACGGAATATGGGAGTGCTCATCTTTGAAACACAGAATTCACATCACACGTTGACTGCTTCCTCAGATAGCGAACTTCCAGTGGGAAACCTATCTGCTTTTCGGTGCAGACCGACTCCACACAGCACGAATCTTGATGAAACTCTCCTAAAACGAAAGCTCTAGCTGATGAAACGCTTAAACTGCTTACCAATGACTGCGATGGACACGAGCTGACGGTTGAAAGTAAGTGACAGAAAACCATGTCCTAATGCACTCCCCACTCGACCACATTAGTTAACTTGTTTATCGGCGTTGTAGAGTAACTGCTTAAGTAGTACTATGTCCAAATTATATATCGCAACTTAGGCATGAAGACGACATTGAAAGTCGGCCCTACTACGTCAGCCACCTCTTACTACCATGCATTCTCCTCTGGACTCGCGCCACGTTTACTCCTCAGTCAGATAGCGAGGAAAAGCGGGACAGTCCAGAGGTAGCAGACATGGAACGACCAGTGCAGTCATTTGAAGATCTGTGTACTTGCAACGGAAAACAAGGATTTGATTCGATGTCTGACCCACAGAGCGAAGGTACTTTTGTACTAGACATGTTGACCAGATGGTTGACTTTCATGTTTCGTGGAGAGAACAACAAATGTAGTAGAACAGGAATCGGTAGACAGAAAATCGAGTTACTTAAACTTGCCGTCCTGAAATGACACAATCACGGAGCTAGTGGCATGATAGTCAGGGAAGATTGCCAAAATAACATATATGCCACTGAGTTGAGCTTCAGCTTTCGTTCGAGTCTGGTGCTTCATGCTTGCTCGGCTTTACTTTCAGTTTCTGAGTACATTCATCATTCGAGAGCTAATAATGAGTGCCACAATTCGGTGATACTGCGAAGTGCCTGTCAGACAGGATTCATGAACAAGTAAATCAGATAGCTACTGCAACAGGCCAACTCAGCTGGTACAAACACCGTGTATTTACTTGATTACAAAAACAAAACATGAAATGCATTTCAAATCACCTACAGTGTTCCCCATTAGCCGATCTAGGGTGAGCATAGTCCTATTAATATCGGTTATCGAGGTGATAGCACTGGTTGCGCAACCTTGACCTGTGCACGTAGGAACGGTTTTGAGGGAAGTGGAATCGTCCCTTTGCCGTCCACAACTCGACTGAATCACATGAGACAAACTTCTGATTGACCCCTATCCGTACTTGCTTGTCTTCAAAAGTCAGCTGGTGGCTAGCATAGTCAGCACCTGGGCGTTTCGTTTACCTTATTAAGTAAATCGATATCGTGTTGCATCAATCTGATGGTCGGATTCAGAAACAGCACACTGACAAAATCTCCCCCAATAGTGACGAGACGTCTGAAAGCCAAATGCCAAGCCCGGTGAACAGACCAACAGCCACCTGCTGCACTGTGTCCTTATTGGTCTATTCAACGTGCTTGAACAACTGGCCCCGTGATGGCAGCACACAAATTCGCCCAACCCAAAGAGCTGAGGTACTGGATCAGAATGGTGCTCTAGCGGGTCACTCTGATGTGTCGACTAACCAATGCACTGAGAGAATTGATGCGCATATTTTCAAGGGAGACATTGTTTTGCCGGAAAGTACACCTGATCGTAATGCTGACAAGAGTACGGATGTTTTGACGGAGACTGGAGTCCAGTGCTCAGACCATCCAACCTACCCAAAAACTCAGGCTCCAATTAGATGTTCGGATTCCAAACCTCGTAGAGTTTAAGATGACAAAGTTTGCGAGTATTTCAGGGCTAGTGATGTCAGCGCAGCACTAGTTCAGTGACCTGAAGAACTTCAGATACCATGTACTATGCGAGTTAACCTCGGTTAGGAATGTGAGGCAAACTGTAAACTTCACCATTCCTGGTTTGGTCTCGGCACCGCCTCGTAAACCCACGGATGTTTGATAGAAATTCACCGAAACGATTTTATTGGGCTATTCATTCCACGCTGCTCGAGAGCGCCATTTGTGAGGCATCATCCAAAGCCTGTGACATTATAGATTTGAAATAGCCTTTCTGCTTTTTAGCTGGACCAAAGTCCCGATCTCTGGGCCTCATGCTTTTGCATGCATAATACCAATACATTTATTGATTGGCTGAGCAATTTATTCGCACCCTCCATTTTAGACCTAGAAGACCGTCTGGTCCATAAACACTAAACACAACTCTATACTTACATATTCACTCTTCAGTTGAATCCCTATTCCCGTAGACCGCAGCATTAGTACATAGTGGAAGGTGTACAACTTCGCCTTTGTTTTACTAGCCACACATGTCAGGAACGAATTAATCGATGCCCAAGTACAAAACAATCCACCTATTGACATGATAAAAATGCGGAAACGACATGACAGCTGGCGGGCTGTGGAAAACAACAACTAACAGCAGCTGTTGGAAGACAACAAGTATGCAGTGGATAGACGTAGCCCACCGAATACACAGACTAAGTCCGTCTGGTGTAGAGGAACAACTTGTGTGCAGTGCAGTTAGTAGAAAAAACACCGTAACCATGTTTCGCAGAGTGCAAAAATCGAATGAAGATGCAGATTACCGAGAAGATTAAGGCTAATATGAGAAAATAGTTAACACACAGTGCTAACATTTGACACTGAAGCGTACGGCTAAATCACCAAAGGCATACGGATAAAAAAGATTGGCCTTCACCTCGTTAAACAGCGCAAATAGCAATAAACTAACCACTCAGCTGCGGCACACTTTCCGTGCATAACTGCCAGGCTACCCGAAGGAAACGAGAGGGCTCAGATATTGTCAGGTTGTCCAAGTCTAGACAAGACCACTCGAAACTTGGAGGCTGGGTTTGAACCAAAGATCTTCTGTTCAGTAATTTTACACCCTAACCAATGAGCTATCTCAAGGTTCGTTAAACAGCGTAATACAACGTTCGGGAGTTTTTTACGTGACTTGTGAAGGATTTGACTGATGCCCTTTCATTTTCTCATGCTGCATCACAGTCAAAAAGGCTTATTTCTTCCGTTAACGTTGACGGAGGAGTGGATCCTTGTTTCCAAATGACATACATGATCAAATAACATTGTAAGAAGAGAATGGGTGATTATCTCGATCATCAGTACGACGAACAGGGTCAGCTTGGTAGAAGTTGACGACGCTGCACGAGGGACAGCCGAATATAACTGTGAAAAATGTCTTTAATAGGAAATGCCGTTCCACCATGTTAGGACTAATGCCAAGCTCTTCATTTCAGACAGCCAACGACCAGATGTCAGCTTTCTACAGACAGCGTTCAACTTCAGACAGTCTGGTAGAACACGAAAACAAAAGGGTATTAGCCAGATAAAGCATTCAGTAGGGCCATGTATCCCTCTGTGAATGCCTGAATTTATTGTATTGTCATCAAAGTGAGATCTATTCATTTATTCATGACGTCAACAAGGTCTTTGGTGATGTCGCCCAACAAGGCTAATCGATCTCTGCTTATTAGTGCGCAGAATCAAAGTGACTTCACACAAGTTGAAAAACGCACATACGTACCTACGTGCATACGTTACTAGGACGTCAGTACCAATGCAGCCTGTTCCGTAGTGAGAAAGTTGATGCTTCCTAGAGCAAATGCTGAATAAAGGTTTTATTCATTTACTAAGTAGTCCATTGGATCGATAATTGGCAATTCCGCAGATTGTAGCTTCGGTCCAAGAAGTTACAGTACATAAGCTTTCTCATCTACGATTCTTGATCAGAAAAGTGCCTTACTAACCTTGTATTAGAGTGGGAAATGTGAGTTGAAGGAATGCATTTCCGTTTCAAGTCTCAAGTCTTGTCAAGAAAAGCACCAGTAAACTGTCCAAATTTCAATCGGCTGTCTGGATTTCCCCCACATGAAGCTTTCGACATGATAAATCAATGCAATATGGAGTCACACCCCCCGCAGTAGAGTTGATTGAACCGATTGATCGGCAGAAACACAAGCAAGACTCAGCAAGGACTGGGTGAGAACTGCGGAACACGCTTATTGGTTAGTGTGGGATAAACGACCGACTGAAGTGAAATAAGGCGCTGAACAACCATAACGAGCGGTTGTCCTGGGAGCTATCAAACACCGAAAGTAAAAATGTTGGCAATCACTGGTTTGAACAGCTACAGAGAGACCCGAAAATGAAAGTGGAGTTGATTAGTGACATTACACACAAATTAGGCCATAAAAGGTATTGGATACAGATAACGTGATTGGGTATTGACACTTTCACAAGGACCAGGTGCAGTTTCCAAAGTACAAACATTAATGGAAGGGAGACAGCTTCCGGTTACCCCATACGATTTTAAATAACCCTTCTCGAACATTCGCCCGTCCACAAGCTAATATTGGAAGAGAGGAATCTGTTGGGTCAAAACAAATATAACCAAGCTCCAAAACAACTCAGACACCAAATCAGTAGGTCTGTGGGGATCAGATTACCAGAGCAAAAGAGAGCACTATCTAGACAATATCCGGTAACCGATATTTGGGGGAAATGTCTGGGTATACGGCCACTGTGCATTAATCATTGAGTGTAAATTTTCGCTTCTCGACTAAACGCTGGAATGTATCAGTCGGATCGGCTTAGTCTAGACACTATTCCAGTTTTGTGTCGTTCTAGTAAATTATCGAGTACTTAAAATCACATTTCCAACCTCTCTTCCTAACTTGCTCCCTCCACCAAGGACGTATGTCTTTCGTATGCCTTTGAGACAGTAATCTCTTGAGGCATACACATACAACTGAGCAGAGTTGTTGGTGAGTTTGCAAAAATTATAATTCGCATTCATGTACTTGCCACACCTCGTGAAGGTCGAACAACCGCAATTTGAGCGCTACAACCCACAGAGCTAAATGAAACGGTTCACGCCTGATTCACCATCTTACTCACCTGTCTGGATTCGATAAGATGCATCTTGTTGACGTTCCACGTTGTAGTGATGTACACGATTCAGATGACATATGGAGATGACATAATTCCGGTTCACAGATTCTCGCAAAAGAAAGAGGCCTTCAGCAGCACCGTGGGCCACTAGTTGTTCTTCAGCTTGCTCACGAGTGATCTTTCCATGAAAATACGAAGTAGATTCGGGAGGAACGGCACCAGGAAGCAGGGGAAGCAAATGGGCAGATATCATCACAAGGGCGCCGGAACTTTTGGTGGACCCGGAACTAAATTGTGAGGGCGAAATGGAATGAAAGTTGGCCGGATGGGTCATCTAAAAACCAAAAAGAATAAGAGACATGGTGAAAATTCGGACTGAATGGTGACCGGGATTCCTCCCGTAGATTGGATGTTCTGAGGAGGCCACCACCGAAACACTGTTTAACAAATTTGAAGAATGGACTTCACTGCGCTTACCCCTCTAAGGTGTTAATTAGCCCATGGTGATAAACTGATTCAGACGTTGTTAGTAAGGACGAACAATTATGCGCAATATTCGGGGTTACACTGACAACCAGACGTTCTCACAATAGCACAATACCTACGTTTCTGTTGAGTTTTTCACATTTCAGTGGAACGCCACAATCCTAAGTCTCACAATATTATAAAAGCCTGATCTGGCCAGATGTAACTACTAAAGTTGTGGGAGAACGTGCGTCAAGAAAGCCGTCTGCTTGTCAGTCACTAAAGTAGAGGGAGCAAGAAGTGTAGGCCATCCCGGGGCAATCTAGCTATAAGCCGTCAACTAGGCCATTACTAAAAAGGAATGTCGTGCGGGATAAAGGTTGCTTTTAAGATGGACTGAACGCTTGGGAACAGTTAAGTACCATATATGTGGATGATAATTACAAATCGGTCACGAAGATTGATCAAAATAGGAGGCTTACTGCGCGTTTATGTAAGCTTGAGCAAGAGAAGTGAATGTGCAGGCAGAAGCAACGTTTAAAGCGCCGATATCGATTAAGTGCATTAGGTTTAAAAACTTATTCCTCTTGAAAACTAAGGCTGTGAAGTAAGTGGCAAGTTCACTTTATTCGCCAAATAAAAATCCTATCTATCTGACGTTCGTCAATAACCCCTGCCAGTCAGAAAACGCAGTTGTCATTTTCCCAGTAGAAAAAGCGGATTCCTAGCCTGAAGGTTCGTAGTGCGAGTCTGTCGCGTGCTCCTTCATGGTTTGGGAAACCCCGTCGTAATTTTGCTTCTTTTTGGTTGTACAGCAGCCATGTATTGAGGGGATTCAGTCTGACTATAAAATTTATTTTATTGGAAACAGTCTTCCCTGGGCAGCTGTTCTGCCAGGATATTTGTGCAGATAGCGGTTGTCTTGCTTGGACCGCCCGCACAACATGAGTTCAGCTGGCGTCCCTCTATCAGATGACTTTTTCAATAGATGAATTAGGATGCTTCTCCATTCTTGACGCGTGCAACTTTATTGTACTCAGGCTTTGTTTGAGCAACGGTTGTTTCCTTTATTTGATTCTGTTCGGTTATGTTTGAAGGGAGGTGCGATGAAAAGTAATTCCGACACAGATCCCAGCGAGTTATTTTTCGAAACACAGGCAAAACAAAGCGCTGTTAATCGTCTATGTAAGTATTGCAGTTCAAAAAGTCAGGTGAGTCGTCTTCGGTTTCATAATTAGATGAAAAATGCCACTGATATATCTCTACCAAAAGTCAGGGTATTTCTTATTGTTCCATGCGTTCGACACTCAGTGAACAAGATTTTTTACCGTACCAAGATGATCACCAGCTTGTATCCTCAAGTAATATATGCTGAAATCCTTGGGGGCCATTTCAATAGGAGTCATTTTGTGTTGATGAGTAAAAATGCAAAATTCTGTAAAATCTATGGGTTACCTTTCATCGATAGCCACCCACTCTCTATATTCTGGGTCCATCCACATAGTATCCTGCTCAGGGTCAATGGAACAGCGTACAAACATGATGCTGATTCTAACTGCTACTTACTCTGGATGGCGGACGAGCGTACGTTGGGTTCAATGATCTAGCTGGTTTGTAGATGACGAGCAGTCCTATTTTTTCCCCAGAAATTCTGCTTTAAAAGTGCTTTGCATAATATATACGCTTGAGTGTCGCATTGATGTAATATGACCATATGTTTGGTTTATATACATGTTTATGTTTCTCAACTCTTATCCGCCAAATGGATGTCACCTTAACCTGGTGGTTGAGTTTGAGTTCCAAAACGACCAACGTTTTTATATCTACAAAAGCAAGGTGCCTTCCTCCAATTTGTAAATTTGAAAGACAGGTGGGCAAAAAGTGAGACGATCCGGGAGTTCAAGTGACTTGTAAATGATTTTCGCCAAATTCTCTTTTGGATCGAAATCAGGGTAAACTCGGAGCGAAGAGCTTTACAGTAGTCTCAGACTTTATTGGTGGTAGAAACGGACCACAAACAACCGGCGAATAATGGTTCACTTCCAGAAACTACTGAAAACAAGTCGCTTTGTCGAATGCGTTTGAGAATTTTCAGACCCCATCTTGACGAGTAATGTTCTCAATCCAAGTCACTGCGTAACTTATAGATCTTAGACTCGCAGGGCTTATGAGAAAGACTGCCGAGTGTGGAACATAGGACATGGGATAACTTATTGGATATTGTGCAGCCTAGTTTCCTATGATTACCCCGAGAAAGAGAAGAAACTTTTGGGTGTATCAGACTGCAGGCTGTATGTGGAACAGCCTCGTGGTTGACTAGTCGTCAATGTCATGTATATCTCTGTGATCTAGGTAAGCGGAAGTTTTTTTAGTAAAGACGAATTCAGCAAAATCATTTGCAACAATACACAAAAGATACACACTGGCGCCTAACCGCCATATAACCACAAGGAAAGAAATTCCCAGTAAATAGTGGAAGCAGAAGGGAGGGGTAGGGACGTAGTGAAAAGCAGCTATACGTCTTTATGTCGAGTAATCAGGAATAAAACGCCTACATTTATAGACAGCATTAAATTGAACACCCATTGGCACCATGTCAAATTAAGATGTCATCACCGGGATGAACCTAGCAAACCACACCGACATAAGCCCAGAGGAAGACGGCAAACGAACGTTAGATAGACAGTCAGATTAAGACAGGACAGCATACGCGTGCCACATCTTATGAAGTTATCAACCACGTGCAATAAAGATTACGTGGGCCCAAGCCAGAGGGGCGCGAAGAATCTGCAACGCTGAATTCGAATGCGGTCGCTTCAATTTCGCGCTACCTTGCAGTGGTTTGCCTCCCCCTCTCCCGAAACTTCTGCCAACAATAACGGAGAGTAAGAAAAAGCTCTCTTTCCGGTGGATGGTGGTTGGGCAGACGTAATACATGTCTTAGCCACCTTAATCTGGTATTCCGCTGGTCTAACAATTCGGTAGCAGATACCCGCTTACGAAACACATTATTGGGTATTCGCTGCAGTTAACTAACTCTCGCCACGTTACGTAAGTACTGGTGATCAGAAGCTTGGAGATGCCTGAGGTCCTTGGATCGGAAGAGTCACTTGTACATTTGCCTTGTATGCACGACCATATAACTATAAAAGGTTCCTTTCTGACCCCAAAAATGACGTAAGTCGGAGGTTGTCCGCACCTTTGTTATTGGTGCATTGACTCAACTGCTACAGTACAGTCACGGCTTCTGCGGCTTTCAAAATACGTGGACCGACGAAAGAACTTAAGCTACCCATTCATACTAAAAATACATGCGAAAACACGGGAATACCTCCAGTATTGCGTTTAAACTACCGAGTACAAACAAATAATCTTTAACCAACGGAACAATGTCGTCCACATAATCCCGAACCTATTGACCTCTCTCTGGGGGTGATGTTAATACCTGGATTCGTCACCCTTATGCATTCCATGATAACGTCACTGGAGAGATGGGGGATAGTCTTGGCGAACTCTACTGGTCTAATATTTACCGAAACTTAATTGAGGAAACACGAGGTATGAAAAATATTTACGTTATTCAACAGAATCCTCCTCTGACCAAGAATATTTGAGATCATCAGTCTATTTACAGAGTTGTAGTCCGTCTTATGGACGTCTTGTGGACGTACGTGTTATTGCTCAGGAATTCAACGTAAAGATATAGACGGTTCAAACTGTACAGGTGAAAGTCCTGATTTATACTCTGGAACTGCCATCTCACGTGCCCAGGGTGAAGATAATGCAAAAAACGCATCAAATCTCTGGTGGGTCTGCTCTTATGGTTCTAATTTTTTCAGCGGAAGCAAAGCAAGCTTTCTTAAGAGATCGTCGCATTACTCCCTGTTTAAAGCCGCTTCAACAAGAAAACCTAAGCCCACTCGCCCATCTTTTCAATCTTCACGTCAATGATATTAGGGGAAGGCGTTGAAAATTAATCGTTGCTCAGAGAGTCAATATGAACTTAACAATTGTGCGAGGATTTTGAAGACTGGCTTTAAAAAAATCTTCCGTTTCCAGGGCAAATAGTCAAAAACAAGATGCCCGCACCTCCAACCAGCATCAAGTGGGGGCAGGCTACCCGTCCTAGAACTGATACCACATCCATTGGGAACTTCACCCGACACAAGTCCTGAATACAGCTTTAGCCAGGTAATCAATTTAGAAAAAGATAGCATCTGTTCGATAGGACCAGTTACGTACCACGCCCTGTAGGGTTTTTAGCCATGGGAAAGGTGAAACAAATGAACTAAAACCAACAGAGCACGTGCATCTGACTATGCTACTGAAACTTCAATCCACTAGTTGACTATTGCACGAAATCCAAGTGACTAGGATTATCCCTTGTTGCTAAACCTGTTGTGGTCAGCCTCTTTGTGGTTGCCGTTCGTGTAAACCAGTAACCGGCTCTTAATGGAGAGCCGGTAGATAATTTTTCCATGTGGTCTACAGCACCACATAGTGAGGTATCGATTAGTTGCTTAAAAGTAGAACGAAAAACCGAACGAAAACTGAAAATCAGAGTCACGATATAGAATGAAAGCCGAAGTAGTGTTTATTACCCCCTTGCTCACAACAGGTGCAAAACTGTACAAGTCCCTCTAATACAAAATTGTCGACATAACTTTCGCAAAGTCATGGAACACAACTAAATTCAGAATTTTCCTTCCAACAGGTTACTAGGCGGTTTGAAATTCTGTGAGTTAATTCATTAATGTCCCTAAATGCGCACAGACAGCATGTATACACATTATTGTCACGTTCGTGTTCCACTCTTGATCCCAACTAAACACGTCTGGGGCAGTTCTTGGCATTGCGTTTAGTAGGCGT